TTGTAATATAAAAAATATATATTAGTCACAACATGATAATTTAACAGTGTCGGGTTACTGTTTCTTCTAATACTGCTACCATATTTTCAGAGTTTAACATTTGACTGACTTTCACTGGTGTTCTTTAGTATATTTTTTGTTCCAGGAATTTTTGACATCACCATAATTCATATTCACTGATACTGAATAATATTAGGCACATGTAAGTTTCCGAGTAGCTTCATGTGAACCATTGGTTCATTGATATAAACTGTACATGTAAGCTCTCATTTACCTTCATATGAAGCTTTTGAATCCACTATTCTGAGCTATTTACATATTGCTCTGACTATGAATTTTACAAATTGCATTACTGGGGTTTTTGATATACACAATTTAAACTCAGGGTTGTTGTCTGAGGGTGCATTTGTTGGTTTGTGCTATACAAAGAACACTGTCAATTGGTCTTGTATCTATGATAATACATATATCTTATTATTAACCAAGCGCGAGAGCCATACTGGGAAAATCTTGACAGTACAGATCGAGTGCAACGAGGTCCATTCAGAAAAGACTGAGGGCTGACTGAGGGCCGATATTTTACTAACAAATTTGCATGATTTTCGCAATTTCTAAACCCCACTAAAACTAAAATTAAGGGCAGTAGGTGGTATCATATTTACCATTTTTCCATTATGACAATTAAATTATATATTGCTTTTATTCCGGTTCCACTTGTAATAATAATAATAATAATAATAATAATAATATAACATTAATAACTGTTCAATCTTTTGTTTATACAGTTGGGCAGACTCCCGCCAACATTGTACCTCCAAATGGACAATTGTTGGCGTGAGAACAAGAACCAATTTGTCCTGCGTTTTCTAGCTTTGCTAGTGGAACTAGGAATTTTTAAGAAGGTAAGAAAAATTGTGTTTTTAAGGTTACCGTAGACCTTCGCTGGTGTCCTTCGCGAAAAAAAATTATAAGCGCGCTGTTTTAAACGCAACTACCACAAACTATATATCAATGTAAAGGTTATGAAATGCACTATCCAATAAAAATTGTTTCGTTTTATTTTATCTAACCGTAAGACGGAGCGCTTCCAAAAAATCCCAAAACGACTGACGTCTCTTTGAGCGAATTGATCGGATATCGAATTCGAGCGCACAGACAAAACTACTGCATTATATCAATCACAAGGCGTTAATCTTTAAAACTGTGTGAGGCTTTCTCGATTTTCCTATTGGTGGCTTTGCAATTTTTCTGTCAAGTTTACTTATCAAAGATTTACTGATACGTGTTGTTACGATGAAGGCCATTGCGGGAGATCTATTTTGAAAAACGGAAATCCCTCACACGGTATTTTTGTTTTATGTCTTGGGAATCTTAAAATAAAAAAGAGCAAGCTAAGCTAAGCTAAGCTAAGTAAGGCCATCTATCAGATCTATTATATGACAAACTAGTCCATGATGATCATAATTTTGCAATACGGACCGCTTAAAATGGACCGCTCACGAACTTTTTCCTTATCTCTGGCGGAGATTGTAGATCGAACCTTTCGCAAAATGGCCTGAAAAAGCAAGAATAAATACCATAAAAGAGGCGTAACACACGGCTACCGAAATACCAAATAAAAAGTAATAAATATAAAAACTGTTCGAATAGAATAATTGAATGTTAAACTACTACTTTTTTTCCTGGCAGATCAAGTTATGTTTCCTAATGGTGGGGCACACGCACGAGGACATCGACCAGATGTTCTCGTGCATTTCACGACGACTTCGAAAGAATAACGCCCGGACCCTTATCGAGCTGATCAGAGAGTTTGGCATGAGCTACTCTCCAGCCATCCAATCTTCATTGTTAACATTTATGTATGACGTGAAGCAATGGATGGCGGGGAGTGCCGTGTCAAATCTCTCTGGCCATATTCATCAACACCAGTTAAAGCTCGTTAAGGGCCCGGGTGGAAAGGCCCACCTGTATTACAAGAAATGGTCGACTTCTCCAGTTTGGTCACCGCCGGAGGGAATTGTACTTTTACAGAAGCTGCCGACTGGTAATCCAACCCTGGTCATGCCAGATGTCGGCAAACTGAACCTCCAAAAGTTGCAGCAAGCCATCCCGAAGTACGGCCTTAATTTCGACGCTCCCACCACTAAGTGGTGGGAGGACTTCATTCGAAATGAAGGCCAAGCGGAGGAAACAATACCACAATGGATGCTGCCTAAACTTAACCCGTTGCCACCGGATCCACCAGCGGAGAGGCCAGCTACCAGGGTAGAAATACCAGACACCCTGGAAAAGCTGGTGGAATGGGAGCAACGGGAGGTGGAGGTAATATAGCTTTTTCTGTGACAAATAAAAACTTCTCAGTATCAAAACGCTGTGCTAGGCTGTTCATAATATGTATTGCAACCCACCGATCAATTTTCTATAAACACATCACGTGGTACCAAATCGGATGTCGGCTATCTCGTCCGATTTCAATACAAATTTATAAATTTAAGTTTTATGGAGGATATTTACGTTTCTAGAGTTACAAAGAAGTATACTGGATGGCCAATCACACAGAGCACATGAAATATCTCGCTTATTACTTTTAGAAAGGAAATCATAGAAATGCAACTGCAACTGCAGTCTAGCGCTATAGATTACACATTGAGGATGTCCAATCTGCCAGCCCACTGGCACTAATCCATGTAATATCACAGGTTTCTGTCTTTGAAGAGTAAAGAAAACATAAAAGGTAGTAGACAGTAAAATTAAACCCATGGAAAAAAAGTTAAATATAGTATCTGTTAAAACTTCTCTCTCCCTAATTCTTCCTTCGCGATTTCGTGCATTGCAGTGCGATTCGTTCACCATGTAGCGGCCATTTTGTTTGCTCGTGGGCGATTTTTTTGTTTATTTTTTTAGTTTAGCCTTTATGGTACTTTAATCGGGGAAACGCATGTGAAACAGAGAACCTCTCCGACGATCACGTAGGATAGTTCACCCAGTAGGGCAGTCGCAGTCTCTGATCAGTGAGCAGTTGTCCTACACTTAAGCTTTAAGCTTACTGTATAGTTGATATTTCTATTTAGAATAATTCTTGGTAATTTGAACGATTATAGTTTATTGAAATTGAAATTTCAATCCAACAAATAAATCTATGTTATTGGGCAGCTTACGCTACATGTGTTTACGTGTTCTGGTTTGTACAGGGTCGAGGAGCCTGGGCAACCAAAATATTATTGGGGCAACCGAACCAAGTCCTGTGGTTGCACCAGGGACAACTACACACAAAAATAAATTTCGACCCCTGGAGATTTATTAAATTATTGTTGTTTTCATTTAGCTTCTAGTCAGGCTGCATGCATCCCGTAACAAGACAAGTCAACACCTTAATTATTATTGCTTTTGTTATTACTATTCAAGGTTACAGTTGGACGCAAAAGAACGGCGAAGGCAGGCAAGCAAGGAGGCCGCAAAAGAGCAAAGCCATGAATGGTAAATTTGTAGTATATTTACAAATAAAGAAGCCATAGCCATTTCTACTGTCATAAAAGATGACGGGAAGTTGAGTACACGAGAGAAATTTGGAAAACACGAGCTGGAGCAGACGAGCGTTTCCTATATTTCTCAAATGTTCTCAAATAACCTCAATATAATGCACGCGAAACGATAACACATGACTTTTCTATGTTCTTTCAGTCTATATTTTAAATCCAGTTATCTAACTAAAATATTTAACATTATGTAATTTAATTCAAGTTATTGTAGATCCTATTAAAAATCAACGGCATTTGCAGAACATGAACAAGGTAATGGTTGCCTGTTAATCCTAACCCCATCACTTAAATTTAATGCTAAAGGCCCGATCAAACAGTCACAACATTTGTTGTGAACCGATGTTGAGAACGTTTGACCACCCCTGACAACAATGTTGAGAGGTGTTGTGTTGTGACATGTGAAACTTTGTCTCAACATCGTCACAACATTTCTTTTGTTATTGAAATGTTGCGGGGTTGTAGTGGCCGTTTGACTGGGCATGGTCACAACATGTCACAACAAATGTTGTGACCGTTTGATCGGGCCTTAATGTAACAAACATTAACATGTTTTTTTTTCTTTGCAGATGTTTTGTAGTCCATGGCGTGCGCCGCCACTACATGCTTCACGATTTAGGATGGAAAATGTTGATGACTTCCTGTAATAGTGTACTATACACAGTGCAATATATGCATGTGTGCGTACGTGTACGCACGTATGAACACAAGCGCATGCGTACACACCCATTCGCAAGTACGTGCCATTGTAAGACCCTATAACACCCTGTAACAACCATTATAACACCATATGAGACCAACTAACACCCTATAACACTGTGTAACACCCAAAGTAACACTGGGTAACACCCTCTAACACCGTGTAACGCCCCGTAACACCCTCTAACACCGTGTAATGCCCTGTAACACCCTGTAATCAATGTGCATGTTCGAATTTGCACGCACGCGTACGGAAGCATATACGGGGGCAGGAACAATACGTATGCGCACATGTCCGTACCCATCTGCGCATTGTCCCAGCGCATGCCCGTGTACGTAGCCATACCATGGCACGTACTAGCGAACGGGTGCGCACGCACGTTCACATATGCTCACACATGCATACCCATGCGCACCAATGCATACATTACACTTTGACTGTGCACTGTTTCAGGAAAGTCATCCAAATTTTCCATCCAAAATAGTGCACAGCAAACACCATGGCGTGTGTTGCCTTACAGAATGGTTTTTCATGGCGTGTATTGCCTGCCAGTTTAAAATCTTCACAAGCCTAGAGGACCACAACTGCCGGAGCTTATCCTGGTTTCTGTAGCATGAAGCGACTAGGAGTATTGCTACTCCCCTGGATAGGATGCTAGTCCATCGCAGGTTACCCCCAGCATTTTGTCGCCGGTACCCATTTATCCTCTTGGGTGGAGAGAGGCATGTGAGAGTTAAGTGTCTTGCCCAAGAACACAACACAGTCACCCAGGTCAGGGCTCGAAACCCGGACCACTCGGTCCAGAGTCCAGCGCGCTAACCATTAGGCCACCACGTCTCCCACTGGGTAGTTGAAAATGGGGTGTGTCACCTGCCATGGTAGTTTTAAGGTAGTGTTAGTATATCACGCCAGGGTAGTTTTCATGGCGTGTATCGCCTGCAATGGTAGTTTTAAGGTAGTGTTAGTATATTCTGCCAGGGTAGTTTTCATGGCGTGTATCGCCTGCCAATGTAGTTTTAAGGTAGTGTTAGTATATCCTGCCATGGTAGTTTTCATGGCGTGTATCGCCTGCCATGGTAGTTTTAAGGTAGTGTTAGTATATCACGCCAGGGTAGTTTTCATGGCATGTATCGCCTGACATGGTAGTTTTAAGGTAGTGTTAGTATCTCCTGCCATGGTAGTTTTCATGGCGTGTATCGCCTGCCATGGTAGTTTTAAGGTAGTGTTAGTATATCCTGCCAGGGTAGTTTTCATGGCGTGTATAGCCTGCCAATGTAGTTTTCATGGCTTTTTGTTTTCCACTTATCTACTGTTTATAATGTGGAACAGTAATTTAATCGAACTTTTACTACCTTGCAGATAACCTTTGTGCCTTACAGATAGCATTTAACGTAGAGAACAAGAGAGAATAAACTGCGTTTGAAGTGTATTCGCCATGTATTATTTTATGGTAATCCTCTGAAATTAATATAAATTAGTATAAATTAATATAAATTAGACATAAATTAGTTGAAAATACGACTCGCAGCCAATTGGACTCCACTCAGTCCTATTACTAATTGACTAAATTCGAGGTGTTTGGAAATAATTATATATGTTGAAATACTGTCTCTAGTGTTTGATATATCTTTTCAATCGAGAATAAGCAGAAAATGGAAAATAAAAATCGTAACAATCTAAGGTCAGATAGCAAAACCGTGTGTTAAAATGCCCTTCTAAGGGCCTGTTTACATGGAGGGAGGGTGACCCGGGCCCTGGGAGGGCCAACTTTTCATACATTTCTTTACAAAGCACACTGAAGTGTTTACATGACAGACAGGGTCACCCGCCTACCCGGGTCACCCTGTCTGCTTGCCAGGGTCACCCTCCTAGGCGGCCTATCTTTTCTGCATGTAAACGGTCAACCCAGGGTCACCCTCCTAGGCGGGCTATCTCGGTTGACTTGAAAAACCCGCGAAAATGGAGTAACAAGCGATAAAAACAGCAAACTCGCCGCTATAGCCTTTCTTCTTGCTGTCATGTTTGAATGTTTGTTATGTAGTGCTTAATAAATCGCGCCGTTGTAATAAAAAAAGTCCGCGAAAACAAGAGCCCACCAAAAAGAGATAGCTCCTATATGATAGCCCGCCCTTGTAAAGGCCGGCTATGTTTTAGCCCGACAGGCCCTAAAGGGGCTCCTTTGATACGATATTGTAATTTGCGCCTATAGTGGAACCCGCCTTACGACCACCTCGTTAATACGACCACTTTCTTTTGTTCCGAACTGAATTCATTTTCTTATTTAAGAACCCCGTTAATACGACCAACCCGTTAATACGACCAGATTTTACTGGCCCGTTGGTGGTCGGATTAACGGGGTTCCACTGTACCTTTAATGTACACATACTTAAGTCAATAGTCTAAATCAAATATCAAAGTATAGTAAAGCCGTCACATATTTGCCTTCGTCTTTGACGGGTGCCAGGTCAATGGTGAAGGCAAAGTTATAAGCCGTCACATATTTGCCTTCACCTTTCACGGGTGTCAATGTTGAAGGCAAAGTTATAAGCCGTCACATATTTGCCTTCACCTTGACGGGTGTCAATGGTGAAGGCAAAGTTATAAGCTGTCACATATTTGCCTTCACCTTTGACGGGTATCAATGGTGAAGGCAAAGTTATAAGCCGTCACATATTTGCCTTCACGTTTGACGGGTGTCAATGGTGAAGGCAAAGTTATAAGCTGTCACATATTTGCCTTCACCTTTGACGGGTATCAATGGTGAAGGCAAAGTTATAAGCCGTCACATATTTGCCTTCACCTTTGACGGGTGTCAATGTTGAAGGCAAAGTTATAAGCCGTAGCATATTTGACCTCGCCTTTGACAAAGATCAAAAGTATGACAAAGCTGTCACACATCAACCTCGTTCCCAGGGTCTCTTCCTTCCCGCCCCCCAAGGAAGAGACCCTGGGAACGAGGTTGGTCACACATTTGATTTCACCCTTGACGCGCCTCAAAGTTTAAGTCAGTTATTAACATATTTGAACTAACCTTTGACAAAGATCAGATGTGTCACACATCCAATTTTTCGTGCAGTGATAACGAACATTCTCTGCGGTTTCTGGGTAAATTTGATGGCATACGAAATCACACCGTACCGTACCTCTGAGTTGTAATGGACGTGACATGAGCACCGTAAATTAGTAAAAATAAACAAGACGCCATTGCATCCCCTAGTTGTTATATACAAGTACCTTACGTGCAATAAAGGACAAGAACTTCCACGAGATCCACCAAAATGTGTTCCCAGCGGTAGATTTGGAAATCAAAATTCACGAAAAATTGATCCCGTGAAAACTAAAAAAAATCGGCAATCCCGAAATTAATCTCCCGCGTAAATTAAATGCCACACAGTTGGTACTTGGGGTACGCAAACGCACTGGGCTGTTTCAACGTAGCCTCCATCAATCATTGATTGAACAGGATTATTGATTGATGTTTGCATAGAAGGGGAAGGAGAACGAAAGATTAGACTTGGCCACAAGTCGAGTTTCTAGCCTGCGAAGTTGGCGATCTTGTTTAAAGCGCGATAAAAAAAATTGTGAGCGAATGAGCGGCAAAGCCGAGCTAGAGAGTCTGGGGCACCGCTCAGCTACGCAGGCTAGTCGAGGACAGTGCTTTAAACCGAGCACGAGGGGATCGAGTTGCGAGCGAGCGCACCGAACGAGCGAGAGCTCGTTTCGATCGAGCCTGGTTTACTCCCAGACCGGAAACGAGAAGCGAGTCTAACTAAAGATGTTTAAAATCGAAATAAAATCATATCTTCACTCGGAAATCTTCTTTACCCTCCAAAAAAACACTGCCCTTGTTTTGACAGTGATCTTTCCGATAGAAACTATCTTTCGCACATGTTAGATAAACATGTTTCTTTTTAGTTTGTTTGTGGATGACATCCACATATAGCAAAATAAAGTTCACACGAAAGATAAGCGCAAAGTAACATTCAAATGCCACAATGAAAGCATTGCACTACTTGAGTTATGGATGAAAATCGGGCAACTATTTTTGAGGATAGCAGTAGCAGATTCTAATAGCCCTGATATGAGTTAAGGACGTTCGCGCCCATTGCCGCACGCAACGCCATGCAACCAGCACGCGCGCTGAGAATGGAACTGGACAAATAGTGCTGGAAGCCGCTTCGATAACTAGGCGAGGATTTAACTCTCTTGGATGCACGGTGACCCCTGTTTTTCTTTTCATAGATCACTTCTCTTACTGATCTTCTCTCCATTTTAACAAAACAAATATCTGAACATGAGAAGTCTTAATTATTTCGCTTTTTCTACTCCGGCATGCGATCAAATTGTTGTACGATTGCAAACGAGTGTGCATGACTTACGAGTATCCTTCTGATTCACCTGAAGGAATGACAACAGCTGCAAAAAAAATTACTCAATAGGCCTATTTGCGTTGAAATCAACACATCGATCTATCGATTATTATCGGATCTAAAGTTTCCCATTTTACGTTTTTTTCAGTGCTGATAGCAACGAAGCCGATATCGCCTTACATGACCAAAGCTTCTAGAAACACTACGGCCTTTAATGCGCTTCATTTCCGAAACGAGCACGGTGACCCCGCCCCCAATTTTTTTGCCTTTCTGGCATGAGTTGATCATTATCTAACTGCGGCAAAAGCTTTAAAAAATTCTGAGCAAGGGAATATTTGGGCGAGAATGTCCTCACGCCAGTGAATGGTGCTGATTCACCATTTTCTTGACCTATAATGTAAGCGTACCAATACCGGTAAAACATGTCCTGACCTTTGGTTAGAATAGTAAACACTGGTCTCAAAACTGCTACTTAATTCATAATACTTTATTTTGTTTTACGTTTTTTAAAAATGATGTAACAAGATTAGGGCATAACGAAGATTGCTACAGAGTAATCGATATTTATCTTCAGGTTCGTGCCTCCAGCATCAAAAATACTATCAATCTGCCTATACGTTTGGTCCTGATGGTTATCTGTCTATAATTCGTGAACATCAAACTTGTCTAAAACTTCCTATGAAGGCTACCATTGTACTTCAAGCTAACATCTACCACTTCCTCTATGACCTAAAAAACTGAAAGAATATAACACATGAGAAAAAACATGGACATCATTCAACATATGCCGTCAGATTAATGTTTGACATATTTAATATTTGCTTATTTCTCTTTTTCACATTACCGTAAAAACTCTTTTAGTCCCCCCTCTCTATAAGCCCCCTCCTTCTTCCGTCAGTCAATATTTCTGGCGTTTCAGTAGCTTTGTATTGAAATGTGGTATTTAATCTTTGAAGGAAACTTCTCGAGTCAAGCAGGTTTATTAATGACAACGATGAAGGAGTCCTACGACGGAAATACAATAAAACGCTTCATAACTATCGTTGAGTTAGGGAATAAATGACTTTGCAATTGTAACACCGTGATACATAGCCCATTTCTATTAAGCCCCCCGCCCCTCTCTCTAACAAACCCCCACTTCTTGAGGCCTAAAATTAAAATAAATAAGCTCCCCGGGGGCTTAATATAGCTTTTACGGTCTTTACGGTACTTTGAAACGTTTCAAACATGACTGCTTGAAAACCATTTTAAACGATGTCTTACACCGTACGTTTCAAACATGACTGTTTCAAAACGTTCCAAGCATGTTTGAAAAAACCGTTTAAACGCTAAGTTTAAACGCATTTATTAAAAATTACCATAAGTCCCCTTTTCATATGGAGGGTCACAAATTGTTTAATTAATCAATGATAAGCGAGAAGCAAAAGAATACAGCTTCAACCATTCACTCAGAGGCCTACAGTGGAGGCGCAACTCAC